CGTGCAAAACTATTTGTATGTTCGTCCAATTATTAATTTATGTCGCATTTCAATTGCATGGATACTGCACACGAAATAAAGATGGATATTATATTTAGATATATTAGTAAAATAGTTAAATAATTGTAATCATTCTTCCAGTGTAATAAAATGTCACACTCTAAATAAATATGTTAACATTCTGCTGTAATTTTCCTATAATTACTTCATCATGTAGCCATAATTAGATGTAATTTTATTTGAACCTCTTAATATAATTTTAACTTACACACAATAAAAGCCCCCAAAAAATATAGAAACAAAAAACAAATTATATATTTTTTTGTGAACAAATAAACATATTCATAACTGGATATACACATAATAATGATAATAGTAGCAGGAGGAGTAGTAATAATAATAATAATAATAATAATAATAATAATAATAATAATAATAATAATAATAATAATAATAATAATAATAAATCATTCTATTTTGATGTTTAAGATTTTTTTTAATATGATAGATCACACATATAATTACCTGAAGCAATTCAATCCGACTGGAAGCATATTCCTTCACTCAGATTGGAAACATATCCGGTTGCAATATAGAAATTAAACTGAATATGTTGTGCAGTCTTCCATTTCCTTTTTATTCATAGAACAACTAATATCCGACATGTTAAAAAAAAAAAACCAAATAACCTGGGATCAATTTATTTGAAGTCGAAGGAAAATTTATTATTTGACCCATATCTCCACGTTTTAGGTTGAGTGAGTCGAAAATTATTTCAAACATTTTAATAAGCCAACTTAATTTATATAATCATTTAAACAATCAAATGACTATCCCAATAACGTCTATGTTAAACAATCCTAATTTATTTTCAACAGAAATTAACATGATTTATATTTAATCAGAAACATGATTAATTTAAGTTGAGTTGTTTAAACAATTAGCATTTTACAACACCAACCAAACTAAATATCACAACAATATAATATTCAAGTAACAATTAGGAAAAACCCATAACACAACAACTACCAATATAATTTGGTAATAGAAAAACCCATAACACAACAACTACCAATATAATTTGGTAATAGAAAAACCCATAACACAACAACTACCAGTCTTCGACATCCACTTGGCCATCCCCGTCGCGTCAATCTTCCCGATCATCGCCCGCAACTCCTCCTCTGGCACGCGGATCCCGGATTCTGTAGCAACTCGCCGAGCTACTCCCGTTTGATCTTGTTGTCTCCGTTCATCGAGGTAGGAGAAGAACCGGCGGAGCTCCTGTGTGCCCGTCGACAGAATAAGCTTAGATTTTTATCGGTTCATTCATATTTCCAAAAAGATATGACTAAAAGATAATCTGATACCCAAAAAATCTTTTTCCTTAAATTGGCCACAATAATTGGCAAAAATATGAGAAACATTCTATAAATCTTAGCAGCAATGAATGACTTGGTGTTGTAATTCGAATTTCAAAATACGACCGCCAATTATAATTTTTTTTTAAAAAAAATTACTAAGAAAAGTAAAAACGAAATATTTAGGCGGGATTTTAGTTACTTTTTCAGATGAATGTCAAATCTTTTTATATTTATATAGACTAGATTGGAGTCGGCTGTGCACGCACAGCCGGCCCTAGTTCAGTCTATAATTGT